AATAGTAGGAGACTTTAACACCCCACTGTCAATATTAGACAGATCAAAAAGACAGAAAATTAACAAGGATATCCAGGACTTGAACTCAGACCTGGACCAAGCAAACCTAATAAACATTGACAGAACTCTCCACCCCAAATCCACAGAATATACATTCTTCTCAGCACCACATCACACCTACTCTAACACTGACCATATAATTGGAAGTAAATCACTCCTCAGCAAATATAAAAGAACAGAAATCATAACAAACACACTCTCAGACTACAGTGCTATCAAGTTAGAACTCAAATTCAGAAACTAACTCAGAACCACACAGCTTCATGGAAACTGAACAACTGGATCTTGAATGTTGACTGGATAAACAATGAAATGAAGGCAGAAACAAAGATGTTCTTTGAAACCAATGAGATCGAAGATACAACATACCAAAATCTCTGGGACACATTTAAAGCAGTCTCTAGAGTAAAATATATAGCAATAAATGCCCACATAAGAAGGAAGGAAAGATCTAAAATCAACACCTTATCATCAAAATTGAAACAGCTAGAGAAGCAAGATGAAAAAAACTCAAAACCTAGCAGAAGACAAGAAATAACTAAGATCAGAGGAGAGCTGAAGGAGATAGAGGCACAAAAAACCCTTCAAAAAAATCAATAAATCCAGGAGCTGTTTTACAAAAAGCTCAACAAAATAGACCACTAGCCAGATTAATAAAAAAGAAAAGAATCAAATAGATGCAATAAAAAAAGATAAGGGGGATATCACCACAGATTCCACAGAAATACAAACCATCATCAGAGATCATTACAAACAACTCTATGCACATAAACTAGTAAACCTGGAAGAAATGGATAAATTCCTGGACATTTGCATCCTCCCAAGCCTAAACGAGGAAGAAGCCGAAACCCTAAATAGACCAATAACAATGGCAGAAGTTGAGGCAGCAATTAAGAGCCTACCACGCAAAAAAATCCCAGGTCCTGACGGGTTCACAGCCGAATTCTACCAGACATACAAAGAAGAACTGGTACCATTCCTTCTGAAACTATTCCAAACAATCCAAAAAGAGGAAATCCTTCCAAAATTATTTTATGAGACCAACATTCATCCTGATACCAAAACACAGAGACTCAGAGACTCAGCAAGAAAAGAAAACTTCAGGCCAATATCCACGATGAACATAGAAGCAAAAATCTTCAATAAGACAGTGGCAAACCGATTGCAACAGCACATCAAAAAGCTTATCCACCATGATCAAGTACACTACATCCCGGGAATGCAAGGGTGGTTCAACATACCCAAGTCTATAAACGTAATTCACCACATAAACAGAACCAAAGACAAAAACCACATGATTATCTCAATAAATGCAGAGAAGGCCTTTGACAAAATTCAACAGCCCTTTATGCTAAAAACCCTCAATAAACTAGGTATCAACGGAATGTATCTCAAAATAATAAAAGCTATTTATGACAAATCAACAGCCAATATCATACTGAATGGGCAAAAACTGGAAGCATTCCCTTTGAAATCTGGCTCTAGACAAGGATGCCCTCTCTCACCATTCCTATTCAATATAGTACTGGAAGTCCTAGCCAGAGCGAACAGGCAAGAAAAGAAATAAAGGGTATTCAAATAGGAAAGGAGGAAGTCAAATTGTCTCTGTTTGCAGACGACATGATTGTATATCTAGAAGACCCCATCGACTCAGCCCAAAATCTCCTGAAACTGATAAGCAACTTCAGCAAAGTTTCAGGATACAAAATCAATGGGCAAAAATCACAACCATTCCTCCACACCAATAACAGAATTAAAGAGAGCCAAATCAAGAATGAACTGACATTCACAATTGCTACAAAGAGAATAAAATACTCAGGAACACAACTAAGAAGGAATGTAAAGGACCTCTTCAAGGAGAACTACAAACCACTGCTCAACGAAATAAGAGAGGGCACAAACAGATGGAGAAACATTCCATGTTCATGGTTAGGAAGAATCAGTATCGTGAAAATGGCCATATTGCCCAAAGTAATTTACAAATTCAACACTATCCCCATCAAGCTACCAATGACCTTCTTCATAGAACTGGAAAAAACCACCTTAAACTTCATATGGAACCAAAATAGAGCCCACATAGCCAAGTCAATCCTAAGCAAAAACTACAAAGCGGGAAGCATCAAACTATCGGACTTCAAACTATACTACAAGGCTACAGTAAGCAAAACAGCATGGTATTGGTACCAAAACAGAGATACAGACCAATGGAACAGAACAGAGGCCTCGAAGGCAACACCACACATCTACAACCATCTGATCTTTGACAAACCTGACAAAAACAAGCAATGGGGAAAGGATTCCCTGTTTAATAAATGGTGTTAGGAAAACTGGCTAGCCATGTGCAGAAAGCAGAAACTGGACCCATCCTGACACCTTACACTAAAATTAACTCCAGATGGATTCAAGACTTAAACATAAGACCTAACACCATAAAAACCCTAGGAGAAAATCTAGGCAAAACCATTCGGGACATAGGCATAGGCAAGGACTTCATGACTAAAACACCAAAAGCATTGGCAACAAAAGCCAAAATAGACAAATGGGACCTAATCAAACTCCACAGCTTCTGCACAGCAAACGAAACAGTCATGAGAGTGAATTGGCAACCACCAGAATGGGAAAAGATTTTTGCAATCTACCCATCTGACAAAGGGCTAATATCCAGACTCTACAAAGAACTAAAACAGATCTACAAGAAAAAAACAAACAAGCCCATTCAAAAGTGGGCAAAGAATATGAACAGACACTTTACAAAAGAAGGCATACATGAGGCCAACAAACTTATGAAAAAATGTTTATCATCACTGGTCATTAGAGAAATGCAAATCAAAACTACATTGAGATACCATCTGACACCGGTTAGAATGGCGATCATTAAAAAATTTGGAGACAACAGATGATGGAGAGGTTGTGGAGAAATAGGAACACTTTTACACTGTTGGTGGGAGTGTAAATTAGTTCAACCATTGTGGAAGACAATGTGGCGATTCCTCAAGGACCTAGAAATAGAAATTCCATTTGACCCAGCAATCCCATTGCTGGGAATATATCCAAAGGATTATAAATCGTTCTACTATAAGGACATGTGCACACGAATGTTAATTGCAGCACTGTTTACAATAGCAAAGACCTGGAACCAACCCAAATGCCCATCGATGACAGACTGGACAGGGAAAATGTGGCACATATACACCATGGAATACTATCCACCATCAAAAACGATGAGTTCATGTCCTTTGTAGGGACATGGATGAACCTGGAAACCATCATTCTCAGTAAACTGACACAAGAGCATAAAATCAAACACCGCATGTTCTCACTCATAGGCAGGTGTTGAACAATGAGAACACATGGACACAGGGATGGGAGCATCACACACTGGGGTCTGTCGGGGGGAAAGAGGGGAGGGACAGCGGGGGGTGGGGAGTTTGGGAGAGACAGCATGGGGAGAAATGCCAGATGCAGGTGATGGGGAGGAAGGCAGCGTATCACACTGTCATGTGTGTATCTATGCAACAATCTTGCATGTTCTTCACATGTACCCCAAAACCTAAAATGCAATAAAAATAAATAAATAAAAATAAACGACTGAGATGTTAGAAAAAAAAACGAACAGCACAATAATTTTAAGAATGCAGGCAGCTTGAACATCCCAATGTAAATAAATCTCACCTAAGTGAAACAGACATTAAGTCACGTAACAGACATTCCCTACAAGCATACAGAAAATACTTTCAAAAACTGAACAAATGCTGAGCTACATATTGTATTTAAACAAATTTCAAAGGCTTAAAACTAAAAATTCTCTGACTATAGGACATTTGGCCTAAAATCAATTATTTCAAAAATTAGTAAATCCCCTACATGTTTGGAAACTAAGCAATACACTTTTTAAAAAAGCCCATGGGCCAAGGAAATTAGACAATATATTGAACTGAATGATAATGAAAATATGACGTATCAAAAAACAAGAGATAAAAGAAAACAATGCATGGGATGCAACTGACAAAAGTCTCCTACCCAATGTAACGCACACCTATAAATCAAATAAAACAAACTATCCATTAGAGCAACAGACTTCAACAGGTACTCCACAAAATAAGCCTCCAAATGACCAGCAAATATGAGCAAGAACCAGCTTCATTAATAATCAGGGAAACACACATGAAGACAAGAAGTCCCCACTGAGCACCCACCAGAAAAACAAGTGATACCAGGTGCTGGTGAGGAAGTCCAGTGACAGGTAGCACACAGTGTTGAACAAATCTACACAGTACAACCACTCTGGAGAACTGTCAAAACCACTGAAGTAAAGGTGTGCAAACCCCACTACATATATACCTCACATGAATGTGTGCACACGTCCCAGGTACTAGGCTGTTCATGGAGAATTGTTTTATAATTGTCCAGCAGTGGACATATCCCAAACGTTCATCAACAATACAAACTGATATAAAAGCAACAGAATATTCATAGAACAGAATACAATACAGTAATAAAAATAAGTTTCTATTATACTCATCTGACAATGGCACGCTGAGGTGAAAAATGCCAAAGGAATACATGCTACATGGTTTCTTTTATGTGAAGTTCAGAATCGGATGAAATTAATACAGGGTTAAAAGGTCACTGGAAGCGGCAAAAAAAAACTTGTTTCTAGGTTGTTGGCAATCCTCTCTTTCTTGATCTGAGGTGTACACAAGTGTTTGAGTTGTGAAATTTGTTCAATGACTATAAATCTGTTTTATAAACTCATTTGTGTATATATTATATAGTGATAAAAACTTAAAAAAAAATTTAAAGGACACTTGCAAGAAATTTGAAGCCAGGAAAGAAAACATATTAAACTGCATATATTTTTCACAGGTGATCTCGTCTTAATCCTATATAACAACTACAACAAGATAATCTTAGATTTCCTTATGAAAGGCTTAAGCTACCTCTGTCTTGCCTTTATCAGTTGTTAACGTCACATCCTTTTCATCCACTTGTGAAGTACTCTCCACAGCTTCAACCTGAAGTGTAATTGATCCTTCACTTAGCTGTGCCTGGGACTGTTCATTTAAATCTATTGCAGGAAATATATAACATTTAATTATAAGTATACACTATTTGACAAACACAATCTGTGGAACAAGAACCAGGCAAAATGATTAATCACCAAGGAAGATGGCTTTGTACCCCAAATGTAAGTCGCCTTCACTAAAACTGTTTAAATGTATAGTCACTTGGACAGAGAACAACTACATAGTTAATTTGGCTCAATGTCACAAGGTCCCAACTTTAGAGGAGGGTTGTGGATTTTAATCTCTCCCTTGCAAATACATGTATAAACTCATTTAACGGTTTCACAAATATACAATAAGCTGAATTCCAAAGTGAATAGTTCTTGGTTGGGTGCAATGGCTCACACCTGTGATCCCAGCACTTTGGAAGGCTGAGGTACGGATCACTTGAGGTCAGAAGTTTGAGACCAGCCTGGCCAACATGCTAAAACCCCATCTCTACCAAAAATACAAAAAAATTAGCTGGCTGTGGTGGCGTGCACCTGTGATCCAGCTACTCGGGAGGCTGAGGTGGGAGAATCGCTTGAACCTGGGAGGTGGAGGTTGCAGTGAGCCAAGATCACACCACTGCACTCCAGCCTGGGCAACAGAGTGACACTCTATCAAGAAGGAAAGGAAGGAAAAGAAGGAAAGACAAGAAGGGAAGGAAGGGAAGGAATGGAAGGAAGGGAAGGAGGGAGGGAGGGAGGGATGAGGAAGAGAGGGAGGGAAGGAAGGAAGGGAAGGAGGAAGGAAGGAAGGAAGGAAGGAAGGAAGGGAGGGAGGGAGGGAGGGAGGGAGGGAGGAGAAAGGGAGAGAGACAAAGAAAGAAAAAGAAAGAAAAGAAAAAAGAAAAAGAAAGAAACACAAAAAGACAGAAGCTTTAAAGAAGTGAGTGCATCTTTAGAGAAATGGAAAATGAGCTGACTTTCTAAACCAAGACCCCTTGTCCCAACTCTCCCACTGGAATACAGGCTCCTTAAGGAATGGAGCATATCTTATACAACTTTACATGATATATAGCAAAAGGCATTGTACTAACAAAAAGTAGCTGCTTGATAACTCTAAGTTGACCAAGAACATTTGATTTAAAATACTTAGATATTTATCATAAAAATTGATATTTAGACTATCATAGTCTAAATCTCAAAAGATCTCTTTAAAAGTCTACCTAATAATAAATATACCTACGATTAATTAACTCAATAATTTAACAGCCAACATTAACTAGCCTATTTGAAATTATTTCATTTACTGTGGTTTTTACAAATTTAGGTAGATTTTGGCTGACTTGTTTCCACTTTAGACTGAAAAGAATATGTGGAGTTACAAATAAATCAAACCTATAACCGACATTGAGAAAATATGAAGTGTTATATACATTTTCACTCATAAAGAACATGATCACACAACACCTAAGTTACACTTTTAAGAAAAAAATAAAAGATTCCGAAAAGCCTCTTCTTTGAATCCATTACCTGAATACAGATCATGGTTAAGATGAGCGATTTCTCTTTCTGTATTACATCTCGATACATCAGATTTTCTTATCAAGGCAACAGGTTCTCTCTTCTCTGGTGATCTAATAAAATAGCCAAATGATGGCTACAAAATAATTAAATGTAAATTATTTCTTTGACTTTCAACTGCTTTGAGAAATTCTAGACTATGTTATCTAATACTAATAACACAGCTAAATGACATCAAAGAACTGTTCTTCCCACTTAATCTCAATTACTAGAGATGGCCTTCAAAGGTCCAGATAACACCTTTCATTTCCTTAATACTAGCTACCTTTTAATCATTGAACTCATATTGTCAAATAAATTGCCCTTACTAAGAAATTCAAATTAAAACAACACAGAAATGAGGCCAAGCGCAGTGGCTCACACCTGTAATCCTAGCACTTTGAGAGTCCACGAGTTCAAGACCAGCCTGGCCAACCTGGCAAAACTCTATCTCTATTAACAACATAAAAATTGGCCAGGGGTGGTGGTGCACACCTGTAGTCCTAGCTACTCAGGAGGCTGAGGCACCAGAGGTTAAGATGAGTTGAGATCATGCTACTGCATTCTAGCCTAGGCAACAGAGCAGACTCTGTCTCAAAAAAAAACAACATAGAAATGATACTTTATTCCTTCAATAATTATTATTGAACACCTATTATGTGTTAGACACTGTTTAATCATCAGTGGCATATTAATGAGAAAAAAGATAAAAAATCCTGCTCCCTGGAAATCACAATATAAAGGTACTTTATTTTATAGAGTAAACACATCCTTGAAAAATCTGTATTAAGATTACGGACCCTTCTACCAACTTACATTTAAGTTTCTGGAAGGTTTGCATTCAAGGAGCTTGCTAAAGGATGGGCAATTTCCACTTGTCATTCTTATATAGGAGTCACATGACAGAACTGAAATGTGAACTCATTAAAAGCACTCAATTTTTTACTGGTCTTCACTTATTTCTTCTCTTTGATTCAGTAACTTGAATGCAAACAAAACTTTATAACTTATACCAAAACAAAAAATCCAAATAATAGATCAATTTTTCCAGTGCTTTGTCCATCTTATCTTTCCTTATCATAACTCCATTAATGAGGAATTCAGTTACTCTTCAACCTGTCATAATCTCAAAGTCAAAATCAATCCAAGCAGAAAAATCCATCTTTCTAAAATATTTTCATTTTTCAATTTACTGCACTAAACAAGACCACAGTTCAACTTAAAAGTTCTATGAATCAACTATAACTTCTAACACTACAACTATTATTTCACAATCATATTCTTAATGAAATCCAGTTTTGATAAAGACTCCCTCAAATAACCCTAATTTCCTTTGTAGAATTTATCAACAAATTCCTTGACTCTAGAGAATAAATCTTGAATTCTTGCCCTTTTCTCTGTTTTCTCTAGGTCATCCTTGTCTCCAGCCTTCATCACATCTCTCCCATTTCCTAAGCCTCTGCCTGCTTCTTTCTGTCTTTTGTCTTTTGCTGACTTTCTCTACCTGGGCATCTGACATATGGCAGCAACCTGCTGCACCTGGAGATGGGCCAGCACCACAACAAAGTTGCCCTGTGCCTCTAAGCACTTCCTCCCTGTTCATATGAGATAAAACCTCCCTCTACCGGAAGCCCTCATGATCTGGCCCTAATCATCTCTGCCATTCTCCCTTCATACACGCCCACCCTGCACCTCACACCTGATTTCCGTTCCTCCAATATGAAACCCTGGTTCCTACCTCCAGATCTGCATACAGGCAAAGGCCAGGTCACTAATGGAGGGAGAAGTCTTATTTCTTCTTACAAAAAAAACACAATCTTTTTTTTTTTTTTTTAATGTCTCCCTCTGCTGCCTCCTTTTCTTTTTCTTTTTTTTTTCTTTTTGAGATGGAGTCTCACTCTGTTGCCCAGGCTGGAGTGAAGTGGAGTAATCTCACCTCAGTGCAACCCTCTGCCTCCCAGGTTCAAACGGTTCTCCTACCTCGGCCTCCCAAGTAGCTGGGATTACAGGTACGCACCACTACACCTAGCTAATTTTGTCTATTTTTGGTAGAGACAGGGTTTTACCATGTTGGCCAGGCTGGTCTCAAACTCCTAACTTAAGGTGATCCGCCCACCTCAGCCTCCCAAAGTGCTGAGATTATAGGCATGAGCCACTGTGCCTGGCATGCTGCCTCCTTTTCATCACTGAGATGCCAACTCAATGTCCTCCCCGAAATGTCAACCTGACCAGCACAGCTAAAGTAGCTCCTTCTACTCACTCATGCTTTACAGCACTTATCACTACCTGAACAACTTGTCTTTTTATTTGTACATGCACTACATTTAATTAAATCAAAACACTTCCATATTTCAAAACATCTCTTTAGATAATAGTTTTAAAAATCATTTTTAGAATTCTTCACAGCAACCAACAATAACGGAAGCAACGAACAACTATTAAATACTTGCTAGATGTTGGCTTAGTGCTAAATGTTTTACATGGACCATCACATTTAAATGTTACAAAGCCCTATAAAACAGTGTGCTATTAAGAAATAGGAAATTAGGCAAAGCGTGGTGGCTCACACCTGTAATCCCAGTACTTTGGGAGGCCGAGGCCGGCAGATCACGAAGTCAGGAGTTCAAGCCCCCCTAGTCAACATTGTGAAACCCCATCTCTACTAAAAATACCAAAAAAATTAGCCAGGCATGGTGGTGAGTGCCTATAATCCCAGCTACTTGGGAGTCTGAGGCAAGGAGAATCACTTGAACCTGGGACACGGAGGTTGCAGTGAGCAAAGATCACGGCACTGCCCTCCAGCTCAGGCAACAATTTGAGACTCCATCTCAAAAAAAAAAAAGAAAAAGGAGATTAAGGCACAGAGGAGTTAAATTGCTCAACGTCCTAGAACTAGCTAAAAGACAAACCTAGGACTGGAATAAGGGTCTGACGATGAAATCTAAGTTTTTTACCACTCTTTTGTCCCACCCCTATTCTGTCTCCATTTTAAAGTTACTATGCCATCATAATACTCAAAATCTAAAATATGGTGACTGTGAGCACTTCCAACAGATTCCATACTTACTCTTTTTACATTGTTACCACCACCAAGGCAACCCAGAGCTTCAGATCTTTGAGCAAAGAACTCTCCTAAAGATAGACGTAAATAACTGGCATCATCTTTATCCAAATTTGATGTGCTATGTGATTTCCTCAACAGACTGTAATTAATTGTAGCTCCCCAGGACGTATCGCCCAGTGCAAATGAAGTGTTATGAGCATCTATGTTTTCTTCCTAGGAAGAAAGTTATTGTTTCATTTCTTTCCCCCAGAAAGTCACCTTTCTGTTGTTCTAATATACAATAATTTTAAAAATCTTACCAAGAAAATTAAAAAAAAAATTTTAAACACTAGACCAAAAAAAAAAAAAAATTGGACAAACTGAAGCATAATGAAGTCCAGAGGAGGAAAATGAGTGTTTCAGAATACTCATTCAGAACACCTGAATTATAATACGCACGATCACAAGTTGCTCACAACAGTGCTTTCCTGTTATCTCAGCGACCTAGGAGGACAAGATGGGAGAATCATGTGAGCTCAGGAGTTCAAGCCCAGCCTGAGCAACATGGCAAAACCCCATCTGAAAAATAATAAGTACGTTGCTTCTTCTTATTATTATTTTATAAGAAGAATATCTTGCTTCATCAAACCACTGTCATAAATTTTGAATCTTCAAAATAAGATTGAAATTAGATTGTCATAAATAAGAATCTTCACAAAAAACCAACAGGATTGCCTCACTTTAAAACATTTTTAAAACTATAGAAATATAACCCAGTACAGTGGCTCACGCTGAATCCCAGCACTTTTGGAGGCCAAGATAGAAGGATTGCTTGAGCCCAGGAGTTCGAGACCAGTCTAGGCATCATAGCGAGACTCCATCTCTACAAAAAATAACCACTGCATTCTAGCCTGAGTGACACAGCAAGTCCCTGTCTCAAAAAATAAACTATGGAAATATCCATTAAGGGCATTAAAGCAATTTTAAGTGAGTTAAGATATATTTCAGTATGTCAATGATCTTCAATTAATAATTCAGAGTATGAGGGAAAAAACAGAAGTTGTCTAGCTGTCCAGAAAATACATCTAGTTGTCTCATATTTTCATGAGAAAAATATGAAATAATTCTATACTAACTGTATATCTATTCAGAAAGAAAGAACATTTTGCCTACATTTACATTAATGCAGGAAAAATTTTAAATTTTGGATAAAGCAAATAATTACAAACCTGTATAAACTGATGCTCTTTATTAAATTCTTCTTCATCTTGTGCAATCAAATCAAATGCTTCAGCTTAAAAAAGAATACATTTATATAAATATATTACACTAATGCCTAAACAAACACTAGCACACATATACAAGTTAGTAAAATAAAATACTAAGGAAATAAAGCTGTAACAAATATGTAAAAGCTTGCACTCATGATTGAGGCATCTGTATTAAATGTTTAAGTCTGTGGTTGTCAAACTTTTGCTAAAGAACCCCTTGCTGTAGCTGATTTTATCACTAACTTACCCCAATTTACTCAGGGGCTTTACAATGGAATCTTTTTCTTTCTAAAATTAATTTTAGCTTTGGAGAGCTTGGCACTCTTGAATTGAGGCACTCGCCCATGAATGCTGGTGGAATTTCATCAGCAGTCATCAGACTGATAAGCCCTCTATAAGCCTGTCATGAAGATGGCTGCAAGTGTCCCAAAAAATCCATTTGCCCCCCATCCGAGGAGACCTCAGTCTGGACAAATAAGGACTGGGAGTCCCCTAATGTCTGCCCTCAAGGCTCCTGCAGAGCACCTCAGCTCCCCCTGGGGAAAGGAACGCCAGCCTAAGCATACTCTCAACCCCAGACCAACAGCCTCAGAGGCATGGGGCAAATGGGGCAAACTAAAATGCCTCAGAGGCATGGGGCAAATGGGCAAAGAGGGCCAGGGTAAGGAAACACAACTGGGAGTGGGGTGGATTCCTGCAAACTAGGAGGCCCAAGACCCTGCTTGAGGCATCAGAATTGCCAACAAACTTTAAATATGTTGGTGAAATGAGAAAGGTCTGCCGGCTACATGCCAGACTGCCTGGCTACGGCACTCTGGGCCTCTCTGTCTGACACTGCAAGGTTGGAACAGAAAGGAGAAAACTGAATGGCTACCCAGAGGGGACAGTCCACCCAAGGCCCAAACATGAGGGAGGCTCCCCACTATCCCTGATTGCATCCATCAAGGACCAATCAGATCTATACTGCTCCTTTGTAATCCTAGACTGTGTCCCACATTCATAACCTGAGAGACAAAAGAGAAACAGACACAGGATATATCTGTTCAGGAAAAGCAGAGCACCAAAGACCACTAAAGCTTCCTACCTTCGGAAACAATGCTAGTTCTTCACCTTGTGAAGTAACCATTTCTTATTTGAGACAGTGTCTTGCTCTATTGCACAGGCTAGGGTACAGTGGCGCAATCTTGGCTCACGGTAACCTCTACCTCTTGGGCTCAAGCAATCCTCCTGGTTCAGCCTCCCCAATAGCTGGGGCTATAGGCATGTGCCACCAATCCCAGCTAATTTTTGTATTTTTTTTGGTAGAGATGGGGTTTTGCCATCAAGCAATTCATCCACCTTGGCTTCCCAAAGGGCTGCCATTACAGGCATTAAGCCAAAATGCTCAGCCTAAAAAAAAAAAAAAAAAAAAAAAAAAAAAAAAAAAAACCATTCTTAACCTACAGCACAGAACCTAAGAAGGATCAGGAGAACTATGAAGCCACCAAAATTATATGCAAAATCATACACTCTATATGTTTCTATGAACATTCACTGTGGGATCTATGACTCAAACTGTTAAAAACCACTGCCCTGAAGAATGAAAGGACCAACCAACCAAATCTGACAGCCAAGAGAAGGGAAGTAGGAAACCTGGCCCAAGACAGGGTGATATGGTTTGGTTGTGTCCCCACTCAAATCTCAACTTGAATTTTATCTCCCAGAATTCCCACGTGTTATGGGAGGGACCCAGGGGGAGGTAATTGAAACATGGGGGTCAGTCTTTCCCATGCAATTCTCAAGATAGTAAATAAGTCCACAAGATCTCATGGGTTTATCAAGAGTTTCCGCTTTTGCTTCTTCCTCATTTTTTCTCTTGCCACCACCATGTAAGAAGTGGCTTTTGCCTCCTGCCATGATTCTGAGGCTTCCCCAGCCACATGGAACTTTAAGTCCAATTAAACCTCTTTTTGTTCCCAGTTTTGGGTATGTCTTTTAACAGCAGTGTGAAAACGAACTAATACAGACGGTAACCCAAAAGAAACTTAATTTACTTCAAGAAGTTAAATATCACCTGGTTTTCAAATAACTGACCAGACAGCTCAAAATAGTCTTATATCCCTAAGTGCTTTTACTCTGAACTATAAGGGACTCTTCAAAGAAACATCTATATTAATACTATGTTAACTTGTCTACTCATCAGAAATCAATCACAGTCAATAAGAAAGCAGGACTTCATTTTTTATGAGAACCTATGCCAATTCTTTGGCATACCTAAAACAACAATCCTCTTATACTGAATGCTTCTGAGGTTAAACATGGAAGTAGCCCATTTGTGTTTCCCCACCGTCAAACTCTTAGGCCATAAGCAGCAGCAATGCAGCAACTTGGACAGACGGAGCTGAGCTATCAGCAAGGAGGAAGCCAGGTATAGGGAAGAGGAAGAGGCAGGCTCTCTTAAGGAACTGTTCTGAATAAAGTTTGTAAGTAGGCAAATTTTTATTTAAAATGACTTGGATGTAACAAGATGACACCCTTTTTTTCAACCTTCCTCTTCTGAATATATCCTTCTATTACATTTTTAAAGTTCCTTTCTCCCTTCCAGTAAAAAGGCTCCCATTTCATTAATGCTACCTCCACCCCTATTTCCCGGGATCTAGTCCATCCTTCCTAGCACCCATCCACTCTTTCTGTCCACCAACCTTTTTAATAGCTTTCCATCTCCCCATCTCCCTTTCCTCCCCACCCATGCTAGTCATCCTTTCCAACCAGACTAGTATTTATTCCCTAAGCACAAGGATGGTTTCATTCAATCTTTCCATTATCATTTCCTATTTTATTTTTTCTTTAATAGTAATACATCTAATAATTCAAATTTAAAAGGTGTATATATGATACCACAATAAAGAGCTTTTCAAAGTTAACCAAAGACTTACAAGGGTATATACTGAAAACTATCTCACCATCCCTGACCCTAGTTTCCCACACCCCAGAAGCAACCAATAGTTAAAATATCCCTGAAATGTCTATCTGAATTTTTGATTTTTGAGTTCAAGTAGCAGAGATTCCTGCAGTCAGTATCTTATATTTCCATTGTATGTCTTTACAAATATCTGTATGTGTATCCTCCCCTCTCCTACCTTTCTACACAAATGTTAGAATACTTTATGTGCTTTGAAGTGGATTTTACACAATTTATTTTAGTGACCATTCCATTTGAGTAACTAAAGAATGATATGGTTTGGTTGTGTCCCCACCCAAATCTCAACTTGAATTTTATCTCCCAGAATTCCCACGTGTTATGGGAGGGACCTATAACATTCTATACAGAATCCTTTATCATTCTGTATAGCCACAGGGTACTTCTTTGTATGGATACACCTTAATGTATACCCTATTTTGTTCATCTACATTCCATCCAACCTGTTATTACAGACAATGCTGCAAGTAATGAGCTTGCACATACATCATGTACCATTTGTGCAAGTGTATCTGAAGAATAAATTCCCAGAAGCAGAACTGCTCAGTTACAGGACAGCACATATGTAACTTTGCTAGTTATTGCAATGTCATTATAGCTAGAGGCTGTGCCAAGAATGGACTAGCATACCTGTGTCCCTCACATCTTTGCCAACACAGTTTTATTACCAAATTTTTGGATCACTACCAAGGAAATACTGAAAAATACTATGATTGGTCAGATTTACCCTGAATTTCTTTCCATGAATAAAAATGAACATTTTTTGTTGTACATTTAACAAAACCATTTTCATTTTTCTATAAATTATTTCCAATTTTTCGGTAGTTGATCTTTTTCTTATTATTAGAATTATTTATTTATTAGGAGAATGGGCTCTAAACCTATAATATAAATTGCTAATCTTTTATTCTCAGTTTGATCGTTAATTTCTAAAAACATTTTATGATAGAAGTGTAGTGTACAGCTCAAAGAATTTTCAATCTGAACACACCTGCATAGTCAACAGCACAAATTTGTGTGTACCTATGCAACAATCTTGCATGTTCTTCACATGTACCCCAAAACCTAAAATGCAATTAAAAAAAAAAGAAGCATAACACTGCCAATACCCAAACCACTCCAGCCTGGCTTCCCTTGCTACCTGCCCATCCACGTGTAACCACTGCCCTGCAGCTGGCTCTGCAGGAGTACACTGCTGAGCTGTATACAAACAGAACTAGAGTGTGTGTTCCTGGTCAGCTTCATGTCATTCCACATGTTCCTGAGATTCATCCATCTTGTTGCATGTGGCTGTATATCATTCATTCCCACTGCAACCTAATATTCCAGGGTATGAATAAGCATAATCCATTCTATAGCAGTGGGAGGGCAGGGTGGTTCTACAGTGACTTTGAAACTTCCACTGCTAATGGGAATTTGAGAATCTGGGGCCCATACAAATAGTGCTCCTATAAACATTTTAGTATGTCTTTTGGTGAATATGTACACTCTATCTGTTGTGTATGTACTCAGGTGTAGAATTATTAGGTCATAAAGTATGAAGTTCACAAAGTTCACTTTCACAAGACACTGCCAAACGGGTTTCCAAAGTGGCTGTACCAATTTATACTCCCACCAGCAACACATGAGAATTCCATGATCTTTTAAGTGATAAATACCCACCGTTCAGTCTGCATCATCGTTTTCCTTAGATCAAGATAACACAGAGCAAGTCCTAACTGCAACTCAGCTTCACACTTCTGACCCCTATTTTCACTAATGACTACTTCTGCCTCAAACCACAATCACTCAAAATCTACACTTTCTTCTGACTCCTTGACTCAGGTAATGGTATTGCCATTGCCCCAAGTAACTCAGACCACAGACCCTCCTCTCTTCCTGCCTTTCTACTCTCCCCTGAAGTCCAGCCATCAAATCCTAATCATTTTACCTCTACGTCTGTCATTAGCTACTCTCTTCATTTTCACTGGGGCACCTAGATTTCTACAACATCCTAAGAAAGCTACCAAATGACCTTTACTGCCAGGAGAAGACTCACCAATCAAGTTCTACCAGTAATTAGTCCTGCCACTTTCCAGACAAGCCTCAATCTTGGGCATGGTGGTCAAACCTCAAAAACCACTCCCTGGCCCTCCTGACCTCTCCGGTGTCGCCTCCTGGCCCCTGGCCGCTCTCCCTTCGTCCTGCCATAAAGGCTGGCCACACTGGAGCATGCACCTTCTCAAACACATCCACACTTCACCATCCGATTTCCTTCCAATGAGACTTTTCCACCATTTGAAATTTCTCATACCCCCAAAGGATTACCTGTTACTCTACTTCAAAAGTGGCTTCCTCTATGAAATTCTTTTGCTACCTACTCACGCAACATTTGTTTCTCCTCTAAATTCCAATGCTTTTGGTTTGAGTCTCTCACAATGCCAATGACTGTGTATTGTATTCTTGTGTCATCCCTCTGGGCTGACAGAAACTGTCTGATGGACAGTTTCTTAAGGGCTGGCATGCTGCCTTATTTATCACTGTAATTCCACGACAAGAGATATTTTTGAAAGAAGCTTAGTACAAGCAGTAGATCGAATAATTTCTTCCTCTGGCGCAAGCCTATTAACAGTAAGGCCAGGCCTGACAGGCCCGTGAGCACCGTGGCTCCTTCCAGTTACAGAACAGCTCAGCCCTGAGGGTTGCAGCACAGCATCTTCACAGACTCAGGCTCAAAATGCTGTGACCTGGCATTGTGCAGAGCTAAACCAGTTTCTATATTCACTGTCAGAGACGATGCTGATCAACAACCTATCTGCTTCTTTTAACACTTTATCCCTCGAGATTTCGTTATCTTTTTGGTTACTTTTCTTCCATCATTTCTACCACATTTCCTACCTTTCATGGACTGGTTTTTGTAACTGCTGATTTATTAAGACATTTCCTTTGCTCAGGTCAGAATTTTAAAAGGGACAAGCAAAGCCTGAAGTCCCTTCCAGTCCTGCAGAACTATGAGGTCTACACAGAAGTAAAAGAATGCTATTCTTACTCATCACCTTTGCCTAAGGATATGGCTCGGCTCATTCTACAATGATTAAGACTGGCTAACTAAAACCTTGGGTCCTATAAAAGCAAATGAGGTGCTTCCAGAATACAGTGATAGCCCGGAAGGGATCTGATGTGCCTGACCAACATATATAGAGTAATCTGAGAAAGATCAGAAACAGTGAAAATGGTATAATAAATGTTTATCCGTATACTCACAACCAGATCTGAAGTCTTCATTCATCTCATCACTTAGAGATATATTTAAATTTTGTTTGCTATTAAAAGATGTGTAATAGGCAAGGTCCGTCACCCACCTACCCTCTTCATTTTGATAGACCACATTCTGTGGGAGATCTCTTTCTAAAAAATAAAATTACAAAAATATCCAATGATACATGTAATAACTAAAATGATAAAACATTCTCAATTTTTAAAAAAAATTTAGATGACTACCTTAGTTATCAACAGTGCTGAAGTCTTCCAAAACTAGTTAGAAAAAGAAAAACCCGTTTCCCCAAAAGAAAAGTATCTCTTTGATGGAAGATAAGCCAGCATCAATTATAAAAAAAAGTCTATAATGGAGAATGAGGCATAAAGAAAAAGAATGTTAAGACTTAGTTAGAAAGGCATATTTTCACTAGATCTCTGATGAACGATACCATTTCTGAGCAGTTCTCCCTGTATTAGTAGATTTAAAATTTTGTTTAAACTACAAAACACTTAAATATTTAATATGAAAGATTGGCACATTTCACATGGAAATATATCCTATTCAAAACATACAAACATCTATTTTTTTCACTCTATTTTTTTTTGAAAGCCCACTTACTGTCTTTATTCTTTTCAATGGACTCGTGACATTCACATGTTCGCCTTTCAGAAGTTGGTGACCAAACGGCATCAGTGAAATTAATTTCACTGTCACTGATAGGCTTCAAAGACGCTACATCCACATTTTCTTGAACGGACATTTTAGGAGTCTCAGTGTCCAAACATCCATCCATATGCAAAACTGTCTTATTTTGATGAGGAGACTCTGTCTCCTGTTTTACAGGGTCAGTTGGGTCAAAGCCACCATCAGCATTTGCATCATGAAAATTATCAGAGTTAAGTTTCACGTCAGTAGCCCTGAGGGTCTTCACCAAAACATCTTTTTTTGCACTTTCCTTTAAAAAAAAAAATCAGATTTTTTAACACAGCAAGTTTTGCTTTTTATAACTCATGTTAAAAATTTATGGGAAAAATCATATAGTTGACATAAAATGTTTATTATATGAAGGAATAGAACATACAGTACTCACTATGTTCTACACTATGTATGAATATATGAACCAATGATAAGCAACTTACTAAAACCAGACATTGTGATGTGGTCATGGGAAACATGTCAAGAGATTCACATACCAAAAGTAAGCTCTATGTGTGCACTACATTACAGGATGATAGAAATGTCAGCTCAACTTTTATTATTACCAATAAAAGTCTCTACAAGCGTGGTAAGCCTATTAATGTGACCAGCCTAATAAAATTAATATGAATTAACAGCCCTTGATATTAATACCAGATACTAGTATCTTTTAATAGGAGTAAAGCAGTGTATACTACAAATGCCCCTGAGCAGTCCAATAAAATTTGTATCAGTCAGAGCAAATTAATTCAGTGCCTTAAAACTATGCTCTTCAAAATATTTTTCCAAGTGGCACTTTTTATTCTTTCCTAAAGTAACAACTGCTGAAAAGGGGCTCAAATGTCTTCAATATCATTTGTGGATATTTGGCTGCCACCAAGGTTATCGCATGCCATTGAAACCTATTAACAGCAGTCCTTTCTGCTATAATAAGACAAGCAATAAGAACAATCTGATAAGGCACAGTTTCTGAAAGTTACAATACTAAAACAAGGTTGTTCTAAATAAAAGATGATGACTTTGAAATACGAAAGACATAGGTTCAAATCCTAGTGCCAATCATTTATTAACTGGGTGCTTTGCCAACATTACTATATAAAAATAAACATCAAAATAAATTCCAGATGACTTAAAGATTTAAATATAAAAGTATTAGGAAAAAATACAGATGGATTATCTTATATTCTTCAGTGGATAACGTCTTCTAAGTGTAACATTCTAATGTCTTGAACTGTGTCCCCTCAAAAAGATATATCCAAGTCCTAAGCCTGGTAACTATAAATTATGCTATTATTCTGAAACAAGGTCTTCACAGATGTAATTAACTTAAGGATCTTGAGGTATGACTATCCTGGATTTAGGGACCCTAATCACAATGACCAATGCCTGTATCAGAGGAAAGATAAGAAAATTTCAGACAAAGATACAGAGAACAAGGCCGAGCGAATACAGAGACAGAGATCTGACTGCTGCTGGTACAAGCCGAGGAATACCAGGAGCCAGCAGAAGCTGGGAGAACCAGGAAGGATTCTCCTCTAGAGCCTCTGGAGGGAGCACCACCCTGCTAGCATCTTGATTTCAGACTTTCAGCCTCCTGTGAGGAAACAAAGTTCTGTTGTTTTGGGCCAGCATGACTGTGGTAATTTGCTCTGGCAGCCAAGGAAGCTCACACACACATTAAAGCTTAAAACACATAAAGACCAATATATTTCCATAACAAAAATCTTACAAAATTAAATTAAAATACAAATACTCCAATAGAAAAAAAAATGACAAATGCCATTTAAAACAAGATAACTACTTTTCATATACAAGACTTGCAAAGATTAAAAAGAAACATAATGTGGAAAATTGGTCTCTTCCGTAAAGTGACTTAATCTTGAATACGGAAGGTCGTTTACAACTTCTAGCTTCCGGTTCCGTGTGTAAAGGGCTTGGAAGTCGCCACTCCATCCTGACAAGTAAAAACATGAACAAACTAACAAATCAACGACTCTTCTTAGATCCATAAAAGAAGGTAACAGGATAAACTGCTGCCTCTAAAACTGGAGAGACAGACAGGCAAATACAGAGAATACTAACATACCAGGAGATACACTCTCAAGCAGAAACCTCCACAGTAACCAGCAGAGAAGGAATATCTGACCTGTAACTGATGAATTGCTGTAGGCTCAGTGTGGAAAAGTCTGAGAGTTAAAAACTCCAGGGGGGCCGGGCTCGGTGGCTTACGCCTGTAATCCCAGCACTTTGGGAGGCCGAGGCGGGTGGATCACGAGGTCAAGAGATCAAGACCATCCTGGTCAACGTGGTGAAACCCCGTCTCCACTAAAACTACAAAAAATTAGCTGGGCATGGTGGCGCGTGCCTGTAATCCCAGCTACTCAGGAGGCTGAGGTAGGAGAATTGCCTGAACCCGGGAGGCGGAGGTTGCGGTGAGCTGAAATCGCGCCATTGCACTCCAGCCTGGGTAACAAGAGCGAAACTCCGTCTCAAAAAAAAAATAAAAAAAAATCAAACTCCAGGGGATCCAGTCATAGGTGGGCCTCCATCCTTTTTTGAGTTTTACCTCCAGGAGCAGGACCAAGTTTTCACAGCAAATAACGGAGAAAAATCCCCTTGGACTTCCAGCATGGGGAGAAGAAAAGGGTCATTTTGAAATATAACAGGGCATTTTGTTCTTAGGTCTGCCCTCAAGAAAACCTAACCGGCTGGGGTTTTATCTGAGCCTAAGCAGCCTAGGGAAAGGGAAGTACCCAACTCTAGCTCCCTCAAGCTACCCTGTCCATCCTAAGGGGAGGAAAAAACAAACACTTGTGGAGTACATATTCTAAAGGCACAGGCTCACTGAAAGACTGAGACTAAATAACAGAATTACGGAATGCTTCCCCTCCACAATACCTTGCCACAACATAACGAAAGGCCTATTTACAGCAGTTCTTTTACTTGGCACATCATGTCCAGCTAAAAAATTAAAAGGCATACTAAAAGGCAAAAAAAAAAAAAACACAGTTTGAAGAGACAGGGCAAGCATGAGAACCAGTAGAACCAGATATGGCAGTGATGTTGGCATACTCAGGCCAGATATCAAAAACAATTATGATGAATATGCTAAGGGCTCTAATGGATACAGCAGACAACACACAGGAACAGAATGGCAATGTAAACAGAGAGACGGAACTGATCAGAAACAATCAAAAAGAAATGCCTGAGGTCAAAACTAGTAACACGTGAAGAGTATCTTTGCTGGGCTCATTAGTAGACCGGACACAGCACAGGAAAGATACTCAGCTCGAGCATATGCCAATGGAAACTTTCAAAACTGAACGTAAAAACAACAAAAATGAAAAAAACAATCTCAAAAAGCTGCAGGACAGCTACAAAATGTATAACATATGCATAAGGGGATATCAAAAAGTGAAGACAAACAGAAAGGAATAAAACATTTGCAACAATAATGACTGAGAATTTCTCCAAATTAAATCAGACAACAAGCCACATATCCGGGAAGCTCACAGAACACCAAACAAGATAAAGGCCTAATTAATACACTAGGGCTGTACTTGGAAAATAATAAATAAAAGCCAAAACCAATACTACACCTAAGTGTATCATTTTCAAACTACAGAAAATCAAAGATAAAGAAAAAAATCCTAAAGAAGCCAGCAAGGGAGAAAACAGCCTTACATACAGAGAAACAAAGAGCGACATTTGACATCTTCTCAGAAACCATGAAAGCAAGAAGGAAGTGAAGAAAAATATTTTAAAGAGTTGAAAGAAAGAAACCAACAATCTCTAATTCTGTATCCTGAGAAATTATCCTCCAAACATGAAAGGGAAATACTTTCTGAGACAAGCAAAAATTGAAGGTATTTGTTGCCAGTAGATGTGCCTTGCAAGAAATTTTTTGATAAGTTATTTTAAGAGAAGAAAAATATATAGCTCAAAATCTTATATCTACAAAGAAAGGAAAAGCACCAAACACAAAATAAGTAAAGGTAAAACAAAAATTTTCTTTTTCTTTCTTTTTGAGATGTAGTCTCACTCTGTCACCCAGGTTGGAGTGTAGTGGCTCAATCTCGGCTCACTGCAACCTCTGCCTCCTGTTTTCAAGTGCTTCTCCTCCCTCAGCCTCCTGGGTAGCTGGGACTACAAGCGCATGCCACCACGCCCAGCTAACTTTTCATGTTTTTAGTAGAGACGGGGTTTCACCATGTTGATCAGGCTGGTCTCGAACTTGTGATCTGCCGGATTTGGCCTCCCAAAGTACTAAGATTACAGGCCTGAGCCACTGCACGCGGCCTATTTTCCTTATTTTTAACTGGTCTAACAACACATTGTTCAGAAAAATAATGGCAACAATGTATTCAATGATGTATGCTTATGTGTGCATATATATGCATATATATATGTGGGGGGTATGTCTATATAGAGACACACACACCTGCTTATGTGTACTTACATGTAAGTGAAATGAATGATAGCAATGATACAAGGAATGGGAGGGAGGAATTAGGAATATTTTGTTATCGTCAGGTACTCAAACTACCCATTAAATAGTACAATGTTATCTGAAAGTGAGTATGAATTAATTGTAAATACATATTGCAAACTAGAGCAACCACTAAAAAAAAGTGGGACAAAAAGAATTATATCTGATATGCTAACAAAGAGAAAATGAAATCATATGAAATGCTAAATTAAGACCAGAGAGAAGACAGGCATGGTGGCTGGCACCTGTAATCCCAGCACTTTAGAAGGCCAAGGTGGAAGAATCACTTGAGGCCAGGAGTTCAAGACCAGACTGGGCAACGTAGGATGACGATATCTCTACAAAAAAGTTAAAAGTTAGCCAGGTGTAGGGGCATGTGACTGTTGCCCTAACTACTCAGAAGGCTGAGGCAAGGGGATCACTTGAGTCCAGCAGTTCAAGGCTGTAGTGAGCTATGATCCTGCCACTGTACTCCAGTCTGGGCAACAGAGAGACCCTGTCTCAAAATAATAATAATAATAATAAAAATAATAAAATTCTTAAAACCACAAAGAAAAAGACTGAAGAAAAAATTTAAAAAATGAACAACAAATAGAAAACAGTAACAAACATGGTAGACATTAACCCAACTATACTACTTAATCATTTTCAAAGTCATTAGTGGCTCACATCTGTAATCCCAACACTTTGGGGAGCCAAGGTGGGTGATCATGAGGTCAGAAGATCAAGACCATCCTGGCCAACATGGTGAAACCCCATCTCTATTAAAA